CAGCACGAGCGTCTACATGGCTCCACAAACCAATGTGTGATACCGGTTGCAGCCTACCCCTTTTACGCCTTTTCCCTCCCTGTTGCCCTAACCGTAGACTTATGAAGATGCCTGATGAAAGCCGCGCTGTAAAGTTGAGGCAATAATCACTGAATATTCGGTAGAAAAGCAAAGTAATGGATTCTGAAAGACTTCAAAAGCCCACTGGCCAACCAACATACTGAGCAATACATAATAAAATAACTTGACCAATTCCCCACCACTCTAAGGGGTGAAATTCCCCTGCACACCACAGATTCCTTATGGAGATTCGCATACAAATAATGTCATAATAAAGTCAATAAGTGGAGTTTGTATTTCCCCAGGTTCCTATTTGTAGCCTTCCTTAACAAGTATCCACGGGGACAGCATATGTTCTGGACGCTGAATTGAGGCGGTTTAATGACACGAGGCGGAGGACTTTGGGCTTGTTGACGTAACCTCTTATTAATATATGATAAGAAGATGTAATTTTCTTACGCGGTGCGTTGTGCACGTCTAGAGCCGTTAAAAACCGACATGGCTACGACGACCACGGAGCAGCATCAAGATCAGTGAAAGAAGGGAGCCTGAAGAGTTTGTGATCCGAGTGTTGGGCAAGCCCGGCCAAACTCTGACCATGACCACCCAACCCCGGACCCTGGACCTGGGCCCTGTCTCAAGCGGCGAAACAGACACTTAAGACTGGAGGACCATAATGGCCGTGACAGACAGAGGGTACCAGACACCCCAATACCCAAGGTTTTAGTGGATGGCCCTTGGGAAGAGAGAGAGAGCTTAGCTCGAGATGTAAGAGGCGGCTAATCACCCATATACCTTATCAGATCCAGCCTGCAGCAACGATCAGCGAAAGCACCATATTGTTACCGCAGTCACCAAAAATCCACCTGACTCCTTAAGCTATATCCCACCTGCCAAACACCCACACAATATAATAATGCCATTTTAAACATACCTCCCCACACCACTGGACCACCTGCCCCCCCTATTTAGGATTGACGGGCACGCCAATCCACCTATGGTCGCACCCTGGATTTTTGAAACCAGAAGATCCCCACCGCGGTCTCAGTTTCCGTCCACAAAATGATGCACTCCCTTGATCAATAAAATCCCTTCCCCTACAAACAACATCACATGCACCTATCCTAAAAAAATTGCTCTTAAAACATATTTTGCCTATTCACCGGAGTTGTTTATTCATATAGGGGTCCAGAAAGGATAGTGAGTTAATTTACTTATGCCAAAACAAAAGGAACAAGGATGGAGCATACCCCTCCGCATTTTTAAGAGAGTAGTGGTCTGGCAGAGACTCGTTATCTTGGTAACCTTATGTCTTAAGTAGATAGACACTGATCCCCTAAACTTTTCAATGGCCACACTTTTTTTGTTTACTACAATGAAGAATCGACACTTGCCTCAAAGAAATAATTATATAATCCAGGATGAGAGAAAATCGCAAGTTTAGGCTCCGCTTATCACTTGTAACACGACCAAAATTCAAGAGTAAAAAAACCAAGGGATCACCTATCTAGTTGATTTTACTCTTCAACTGAACAAAAATAAAAAAAAAAACAAAAAAAAAAAAAAAAGGAAAAGAACACCCCCCCGAGCACGGCGGGGGAAGATTCGGTCATTCGCGTCCAGCTCCGGTTTAGGCCTTCCAGTGCTTGTAGCGCGTTTTACGGGGCTGAGTGCCAATCAGCGCGTCTCCTCCTCTCCAAAACAAACGAGGCCCTGAAGTTTTTGGTGATGGTGTTTTAGTTTGAGAATCGATTGATTACAGAAAGAGATCCTTAGAAACTCGCAGCCCTCTTCCATCCACCACTGAACCCTTAAAGAACTGTTTCTATCAGAACCAGTTCCTCAGAAGAAAAGGGCTGATGACTTTATTGACCTTTAAAATGAGCCACTGGGGATTCTTTAAAACAAAATATATGTCTTCAGACACGAGTAGAAAAGAGACGTTTTATAACCTTTATTTTTCCAAGAATAGTTTTCCAGACAGCGTCGGTATAAAGACACTAACTCCTGCCGCTTTGTATGCACACGCAGTGGTATGCCCATACAGTCACAGAACATGGATGTTTTCCCTGGCGCAGCACGCTCATGTTCAGAGGCCAAACGTTTTACAGGATCAAGTGAGTTTTCTTTGCCAGTCATCCACTCAGCTCATACTTTTCCCTGATGTCAGGTTCTGCTGAGGATGACCTCATTCTGGAGGTGGTGATCATGATTGGCACTGTGTCCATGGATGACTCTTGCGCAGCCATGCTGGCCAAGTCTGGCATCATTCCTGCTCTCATTGAGCTGCTCAATGGTAAGAACCACATCTACTACAGTTGTAGTCCAGTTTCTGGTTGCTCTTACATAATTTAAGTTCTAATGTTGATTGTAATTGATAATAATGTCTAAATAATGCCGTCCTGTGGCTCTGTTTGAGCTTTCCAAAGGATTGTGAAATACAGGATCTAGTTTTTCTTTAGTTTGACCCAAACAAGCTCCGATGGTAGAACGGGTCGTCCACTAATCAGAAGGTTAGTGGTTTGATCCCCGGCTGCTCCTGCTGCAAGTGTCCTTGAGCAAAATACTGAACTCCAAATAAAAATAAATAAATAAATAAAGTTACAGTGATCAAACATTTGATTCCATTACAAATTATACATTATATTATTATTATTATTATTATTGTTATTGTTATTGTTATTATTATTATTACATATTAAACTAAATATTCTGCCTTCTTGAAGCACAATTCAAGTTGTTCATGATCACTATATTATCTCGTATCTTGTTTATCATGGTGAATTTGCATTATCGGGATAATCCTGAATGTCCTCACAAACAACTTGGAAAAGGTGGTCCAGTGTAAATATTTTCTAGGTGAAAAGACTACGTTTCCCTTCTGCCCTGAAACCTGACAATGAATCCTTTTTATTTCAGCCCAACAAAAGGACGACGAGTTTGTGTGTCAGATCATCTACGTCTTCTACCAGATGGTTTTTAACAAAACTACCAGGGACGTCATCGTCAAAGACACGCGTATCCTTTTTGCTTATTTCAAAAGTATTGCAGACATTTCTGTCCCATTAGTTCAGATACATTAACACACTGGCTGTACAGTAGATTTCTCTGGTGCTCTATTTTCAGTCTTTAGTGTATGTCCTTATGGTAACTCCTAGTAACGCCCTGGATGTATCTCTCATCGCTGTTTATTCCTGTCTGCATCTCCATAGCAAGCTATTTAACCCCTTGATTTAGTTTTTTTAACCCTCTGGGTATTCTGAGCTGCCTGTAATTGTACGCACTTGTGGTCGGTCGGCGGCTTGTGTCAAATTACAAATACGCTCTCTGTCAGCGCGTCCTGATGGATGCTTTTCTGACTGTGAGAAGAATAAAACGGGAATATCTGATTTAAGCTCTGCTGTGGGAGCGAGAGGCAGAAAGTCTGAGGGGGAGCGTTGTACCACCGCATCCCCATCTTCCCCCCGTTTTTGATTGATTGATTAAGGACAGATATATGATTGATTAAACCCAGAGAGGACGAAACGTTTTCCTTCCTTGAGTCCCAATCTCAGAAGCGCCAGCTTATCTCATCGACCTGATGCATGATAACAACGCAGAGATCCGCAAAGTCTGCGAAAACACGCTGGATATCATCGCTGTGAGTATCCAGATAATCCTCATAAACAACATTACAACACTTCAGCTGTAGGAATTAATCTGCTGGTTTTACATTTCTTAATCGAATTCAAAGTAAGCATGAGCTTTTAAAACTTATTTCCAAGGTTGCAAGAAAGAAAGAAAATAGTTTTAAATTAAAAACACAATTTGCTAAATTGTTTGCAGTGTAATATTTTTGGTTTTATATACAGATAGATTCAAGGCTGATTGGCTCCTATTTACCCCATTGATGGAAAGGATCCCTACAGAGATAGAGTTTAGTTTAACCATAAACAGCCGTAATATCACTATTACTACTACTCCAGAGACAAAAACACTCATTTCACAAAACACTCAACTTCAGATCATCGTAACTTCATTCAAAGTGGACAGAAACAGAATAAAACTCATTAAAACTGTCTCTGTTAGTCTTTCCATCAATCATCAACCTCTCGCACACATTAGTGAGTAAATTGGGAGGAAACAGGAAGAAACACAACAAAGAAAATATGAAACAAATGTAAAGCCGGCGTGTTGATTCACAGCTGTCTCTCAGGTCCTGCAGAGCAAACGGGGGAAGTCACAGAGACTACAGTTTTCATTATACAGTGTATGATTTAGTGACACTTTAAAGCAGTGTGTGTTTGTGTGGAGGACAGTGAAGTGTGTGTTTGTGTCTCTGATGCAGAGGAAGCAGTGAAAGCGTCCACAGACACATCTGCATAACAGTCCACTGAAGACCTTCTGTGTGACAGAAGCAATGGATGTGTTTGTCTGCCACAATGAATCTCACACAGATACACATCGCGTCAGACACTCGATGTTTAACCTCCGTTTAACCCTCCAGAGTGAGTGTGTGTGTAGGGGTGGGGGCGGGTGGGGGAGTCAAGTCATCCCTCTTCAGTCGGCCTAATGGGAAGAGCGAGAGCCTGCTTCTTATCTCCAGCACCTCTGCTAGAGGCCGGAGGAGGCAGCTCGTCTGTTTTCTCTCTTCTCTTGTGTTGAGCATTAAAAACAAACCGTAAAACTTTTAATAAAAGCAGGTCTCCATTAGAGGCCCGGTGGGGATTTTATACAAATTATCTGGATGTATTGAAACCTCTTAAAACCCACAAGTCAGTATGAATGCTACACAATGTTAGATCAGTTTATTTTACAGAAGCACCACAGATTTACCGGCACTGTCAACGAGAGCCTTTGAAGCGAGTCTGTACCATACGGTCCGTTCCTCCATTATTTATATTCCTTTAGTCCGTAAGGGTCCACCGATCAAAGGGTTTCATTAAAATTAATCCGAGTTATGAATATTATCAGGTGAAGTCTGTTGCTCGCTGTCTGTATGCCAGCTGCAGTAAAACGACGTCACGTTGGCGGCGCAGAGAACAAAGTACGACCTGAAACTCGGGATGTTAGTCATCAGATTTACTGAATAAAATCCAGGAGAAGCAGCAGTTGGAAAGTTTTTACTATTACCTGGCAGTTAATGGACGTAAATAAATATTTAAAACAACTAATCTCACGTAGGAACTAGTTTGTGAACTGTGATCTGATTTAATTGAATTTAATCACCTGAAAACAAGAATTGTTGTTTTTTTTATTCCTAGGTCGTCAAATAGATGCGTGAGAGGTCTTCAGTTAGTTGCAGTCTACAACTTCACCACTAGATGCCACTAAATCCGACACACTGGTCCTTTAAAAGCAAGTTACAGATTTCCTCATTGAACCACTTGCAACGCAGCAATTAAACAAAGTTTCTCAGTGTTTGAGAGAACGGCACACACTCAGGTTACCCACAATCCACCTTTCTTAAAGGGGAAGGACGGTGACACACAGGTCAGGCTGAAATAACTGTAAATACTGTGTTATAACCCTCACTGAGGTAAAAGTATTAAAGTAACGTTTGAAGACGTCACTGTGCAGTAAAATGATTATTACTGCTGCACTAATGTTGTTTTACGGCTACAGTTTTGGCCTCGAAGCTCCAATAAATTTGTATTCAAATCAGAAGCCTAAAGTGGCCTAAAACCTCCAGCTCTGTACGGGGGAATCAAACTGTGTTTTCAGTGCAGTTTACACAAACTTTACACACAATGAATGGATGAAGCACCAGGATGAGGAGCTGCAGCACCTTGGACGATATTAAAGAATAAATCACAGCAGCAGCCTCTGAATCTGCAGCACACACTTACACGGCAGCTCTTCCAGCGACGTTTAACACACTGAGACTAAAAGCCTGCAGACAGAGCTGTGAAACACATTACTGGTACATCATACAGTTTGGAAACTGGGACCAGTCCTCGACCACAGTGCTCTGCACTGACAAATCTAATTACTGGAGCAGATCTTCGTGCCTCATAACACTTAAATAAAACCAAGGAAAATGGTTTCAGTGGAGGGAAACTTCTCCAGATATCGAACGCACACACGGTCGGAGTCTCTGCCGCACATTTAAAAACCATCAGCTGAGAATGAGGAACAGGGAAACACGATCAAACAGCCACATTCACACCAAACGTCTATCCAATAGGGATGCTCCTGCCGGCTTGTGGCGCCGTCAATTAAACAAAAAGTTTAAATTTAGACTAATCGACTGGTCTAAAAGTAAGAAATCAGACTGTAAGCACACTTTATCCTGTTACTCTCATTAAACACAGAGCAGTTGGTTCCATCATCAGATTTAAATGTCAGTAATCTCCTGAAATGGACAATAACTTACTAAGTAACTTAACTAGATTCCAGTTAGCACAGCCCTGATTAACCAAACTCCATTCAGAAAACAAGCATTTTAAGACGTGTTAACTCGTTGTCTCGCAGACCGACAGTCTGAATTCAGACTTTTGGACAAATCGCTGCCATGATGTCGTTAATTCGACTTCCTTTTGATCCGTTTATTCACATTAAATCAGTAAAATCTGTTTATTTTAAGTTTATACCACCGCTGCAAACCAGATTAAAGATCTGAGTGTGAACGCAGGAAGACAGAAATCTCTCATCTTTACTCCCCCAAATCAGAACCATAACACTGGCTGAGTTTACATGTACAAAATATTCCTCTATTGTTCTGAATATGACGATATTTTGCATTTGGAGTCACGTAAACAGATTACAGTATTTT